ACTCCCCACAACCCAACCCCCCCCGGTAGTTTTTGTTTGACTTCAGAAAGCGTAGTACGTAACCAGTTTACCTTTAACCCCACCCCTACAATTCCCTTACAACTCATTAACCAAGCGAGTACAAGAGGACCCTTGCCGGCGGAAGTAGAGTCACCTTGGCTTTACTGTTTTCTTCAAGTTCGTAAGTCTATGGAGCCCTAGTCTTGATTGGTTATTTTTAAGTTTAGTTTTTTTCTTAATTTATTAAGGGATAAGAGATGTACTCTTGGTTAGGATTTTTACTTTTGTCGGACTTGGATACAAAATAAGTTCATAAAGGTAAAATTAGTCATCACATTTCTGTTACAAGGCCTTAAGCCAATCATTCGTGAATGACTACTTGTCCAGTCTAGTAATTTCCATATTCTTATCATGCCTTGCTGGTGTCACGTCGTAGCTCGATCGCTGCGCACTAACCTCACACTCTGAGGCGGGGTTCGAATCTCCTCCGAGTACGGCTAGGAAAAATTAGGGTCGTCGTTCCATTGACACATTGATGTCCATGTTCCCTCTTCACCATCAGTTTAAAAATGGGTTCTTGGTGTAAGGTAGACTGGTGAGAGTCGCATCCTGCGGACCAAAATTACCTAATTTGTGGCATAATGATCCTGCATATCAAGAATTTCTATATTGTGTATGTCAGTGATGACAGATATGGTCTGTACCTCTTGTACTTATACTTGTCAGGAAAAAATATATTATTTTTTGGTTCGGGGTCAACCAACAGATGGGAAGATGAGACGAGCATCATGAACTAATTACTAAGTTCAGAAAAATGAAGAATTTATCGTCTTGGGGGAACTCTGCGTTCCTTACCTTAGCTCTACATCCTCAACTCTCCTGCATCCACTACGAGAAACTCCGCTGTTGCACTACTTCCGTGAGGTTGAAACAGCCTTCACGTGGAAACGTTTCTTTCTCTACCACCAGGAAAGAGCTATTATATCGACATACATTCTTTCGACTGGAGCTTACTTGTCTTGTTCTTATACCATGTGTTTCGATTTATAATTGACTACCACTGTGGACAGCTAAACTTCTGGAAGCTAGCTATGCGCACCCTTAAACCATTTAAACTGTCCAAGCCAGATCTACGTTCAATAGCGTTATACTCCCAAAAGTAGATCTACTCTTTTTTACATACTTTTAAATGTTGAAATCAGTCATTGTAAGCATGTTAAAAGGCATTGTAAGCATTCTGATGCTGGATTCACAATTGTGGCGACCTCCCTGTGACTTACTTTCTCTCCGCACACCGTTCCACTCCGGGTATTCCTGTGCGCCTTGCCATACCAGCCAGGCAGACTCAAAAGCGCCTTGTTTCTCTGATTTTAATATATTATTAATTTTTTTTTCCATTATTTGCTTTCAGTTTAGGACTAGTTCAGTTTAATTGCTTATATTAGTAGAATTTGTATTAATCTTATTTTTTTGTTATAATTATTTTTTCTGTTTTCTTCAGGAGGGAAGAATTGTTCTTTAAGTCTTTGTGGGTTCGACAGGCCCCTTACAACTTCACCAATGGGCCCATAGTCTTCCACCTTTATCCTTATCTCCATCCAAATTGGGAATGTATAGAGAATCCATATTCGGGTGGGGTTAGAACCCGCGCTGATCAGAAACGTTATAAACTCCAGACCGGTCAAGGTTTAGCCACGGGCCACCTGCTAAACTTCCTACCTATGGTCTGTTAAAATTATAATAGTTAGTTTAATCTTATTTGTAGTCAGCTGGTCCTGTGTAAACCCACGTCGGTCTGGAGTTTGATGGTTCTGTATCGCGGGTTCTAACCCCACCCGTGGTATGGTTTCGTTAGCCAATAGTGTCACGATTTCGGTGGAAGTCAGGGACTGCATTGCAATGCTATTCGCCTGGAAAAAGCTGTACCAACTAATGTCAGTCTTTCCCTTTTATTTACATTTGCGTATTAAATATCTTTCTATATTTAATTTTCCTTCACTTTACATTATTCTTCTCTTTTGTTTTTGGTTTTTCCCATGATAGAAATTTTTCTAAACCATGGAACCGCTTTCTTTCACACAGATAACATCCATTAATACTACTAACTCCAGTTCTAGTAAACCGATTGTTAGAAGAAACCACAATTCTCAGATTCCTTGGATGAAGGAATCTGAGACTACCCTCCAATTCTGCGGGTCACGCACACTCCCTTCAATTTTCCCTTATGTTCTAAGACTTACAGATTTAACATTTTCTTAATTAAATACCAGATTATTGACGTACGGCCAGAGTTGCACACAATCTTATTAAAAAAAATCACAAAAACTAATCTCTAAAAATAAATTTATTACATGCAGGTGGATGAGTGATAGGCACAAGGTTCTTTCGGTGTCCGACTACAATTAGCGGCCCAAAGCAGAAGTCAGTATGTACGTGAGTCCATGGCAGGGTACGCGAGTAACGGCAGCCTCGACACTGACCAGAAATGGATTTAAAAGTTCATTCTGTCAGACACTGAAACAAAAGGTATTTTGGGTACAGACCATTTTACTTCGACAACCTCTACTAGTGAGAACGGCTGGGTTTGAGAAGGACCTGCACTCCCAAATCAACCTACGTCGCACCTCCTGGGACTATATAAGGCCCGATTCTGTCACTCCAACTTCATATTGTTTCAGACAACGGAACAATGCTCTTTCCAGACTGAGGACTGACCACCTCAAACTTTAAGGGTGATGGACTGATTACATCGTCTTCGAGTATCTTCTGCTTCTATCAACTTTTCTGTACTCGACTGAAGAAGCCTACTGTGTAGGCGAAACGTTTCAAAATAAAGATACCTAACTGTTGCATATGTGTCTTACCTAACAAGTACAGAAAAGTTGATAAAAACAGAAGATACTTGAAGACGATGTAATCAGTCCATCACCCTTAAAGTTTTGAGGTGGTCAGTCCCTCAGTCTGGAGAAGAGCATTGTTCCATAGTATGAAACAATATGGAGATGAAGTGACAGAATGGAGCTTTTTATAGCGCCTTCAAGTATCTTCTGTTTTTATCAACTTTTCTGTACTTGACTGAAGAAGCCTACTGTGTAGGCGAAACGTTTCGTATGTGTGTGTACTCACCTAATTGTACTCTCCTAACGCTCACTGAACGCTACAAGGTCTTCTCCTTGCTCCAAGAGCTTTATCATACCTCGTCTTAAAGCTATGTATGGTTCCTGCCTCCACTACATCACTTGCTAGACTACTCTATGACTGAAGTGTGTGTGTGTGTGTTCACCTGTTTGTGGTTACAGAGGTCGAGTCGTCACCTGACCCCGCCAGAAGTGTGTATGTGCTACCTACCTCACTCTCCTGGCTACAGAACCTTTATCATACCTATTCTTAAAATTATGTATAGATCCTGCCTCTATCACTGGTTCCTAACATACCCGTGACTCTGTTTTTAGCTTCCAGCTGTGCTCTCGTGTACCTGATTCCCGCCTCTCTAACAGGCTCGCCCTGCGCGTACTGGCAATTCATCTCGGTATTTGGACGTTGTAATTATGTGCTTCAAAAGTATCAAATTACGTCATTATTTTCATAATTTACATTAACTGACGTAGGAATAACATACGACAGGAAATTAGATGACGACAAAAAATAACCAGAATAATAAATTTAGAGGGAGGTAACACTGAGCGTCAGGAAGATTTAGACAATCTGACGTCTTGATCTCGTAGCAATGATTTCAAGTTGGAAAAATTCTGATTCAGGAAGGATACAGGAAAGCACTGGTTTGGTAATTGAGTTGTGGATGAGTGGAACAAACTCCCGAGTACCGTCATAGAAGCTAAGACGTTGTGTAGTTTTAAAAATAGGTTAGATAAGCACATAATTGGGTGTGGGTAGCTTGTGGTACCAAGTCTGATGCCGGGGCATTGACTTAAGCCGGTTGGAGACTTGGACCTGTCTCGCATGAGCCAGTAGGCCTGCAGCAGTGTTCCTCCTTTATGTTCTGAAGTCTTGATGTGAAAAGTGTCAGACGCAGCTCTGTGTAGATAAATCCTTGGAATGACAAAAATACTAACACTTATGAAGTAGGTGATCTGAAACCATACCACGTGTGGGGTTAGAACCTGCGGTCAGAGAGTCACGAAACTCCAGACCGACGCGTTAGCCACTGGACCAGCTAGCTACAATAAGATTAATCCAACTAGGTATGAATCTTATTGTAGCCAGCTGGCCCAGTGGCTAACATGTCGGTCTGGAGTTTAATGACTCTGATCGCGGGTTCTAACCCCACTCGTGGTATGGTTTGCTTGCAATCGTATTACGATTTCGTGAGTCGTAGAAGAAATTCATGTTTTGCAGACTCTTTGCCTTCAGATACTTATACCCTTTTTATAACCCACTTTTTGCATTCCAGTTTTATTCTAATTCCCATAATTCATTTCTACAAAGGCTGGTTAAAGCTCGTCTTATATTCCCTCAGAAACACATCTAACTTCCCACTAAAACTCTTGTTTTAACTTTATGTTTCTCCTTAACGTTATTAAACTGTTTGTACCACAACTACTCACATTCATCTCAAAAATCTCCTTCAGAGTCTTTTAATTATTATTATTATAATCAAGGGGGAAGCGCTAAACCCGGAGGATTATACAGCGCCTGGGGGGGGGGGGATGTGGAAGGCATTCAGGCTTAATTCGGGGAACTGGAGAACAGGTCCAATTCCCTAAATCAAGAGCCCCTCACCAACATCAAGGAACCTTCCTTGAGGGGTTCAAAGTCTTTTAAGTAACTGATACAAATGAAGACATTAAAAGTTATTTAATCTAAACATTTGAAACACCTTTACTGGCACTGTTGGCTCCAGAGGGAAGGATTCTGACCCACTTAACCTCTCGGTTTTAGCTACTACATAAGAATATAAAAAAAAAATTGTTACGTAGGCACAGTATGACCCCTAAGGGTTTACTGCTCCTCTCTGAATAAGCAGTCATAATCTCACTTACGAGTGACATTGAGAGTAGTGCTGGTAGAGACAGGAGGGTCAGGAAGTATAGAAGAATATGCAGTACACCTCAGCGTGGCACCGTTCTCCCTGGGTGTTGCAGTGAACCGCACCCACGACACTGTGTCGCTCCCCACCTGTCGTGTCTGCCACATCATCCGCAACGAACATACGGGAAAATAATTTTTATTTATTATTCATTGAATCCAGGAGGGATATTGTGTCTGCAACTCGCTTCTAACATCAAACAAACGTAAACACCCGAAATTAAGATTGAAATTATCCTCTAAAGTGTACCGTACACTGAGTGACATTCACTCTGAGATACACAGATGTACACTCAGAAAAATATACTTCACTGTGTATACACTCTCTGGGATAATTACAATTTTAAGCTATTATCCATTTATAAAACTAACATAACATATATATTATTCTTATAGAAATACACAGGGAAAATATTAAACCAATTTTTCCGTAATAACCCATAAAAACAAATTTTATTTACGTAACAGAAGCGACGGTGAAGTTATCCTGTCAAGCAAGATGTACCAGTGATAACTTGGCTTCCCAGAAAGTTTATATCACCAGGGGATACAACACCAGGGGATACAACACCAGGGGATACAACACCAGGGGATACAACACCAGGGGATACAACACCAGGGGATACAACACCAGGGGATACAACACCAGGGGATACAACACCAGGGATAAAAACACCCGGGGGTACAAAAACCAGGGGATACAACACCAGGGATACAACACCAGGGGGTACAACACCAGGGGATACAACACCAGGAGATACAACACCAGGAGATACAACACCAGGGGATACAACACCAGGGGATACAACACCAGGGGATACAACACAAGGTGATACAACACCAGGAGATACAACACAAGGGGATACAACACCAGGGAATACAACACCAGGGGATACAACACCAGGGGATACAACACCAGGGGATACAACACCAGGGGATACAACACAAGGGGATACAACACCAGGGGATACAACACCAGGGGATACAACACCAGGGGATACAACACAAGGGGATACAACACCAGGAGATACAACAACAGGGGATACAAAACCAGGGGATACAAAACCAGGGGATACAACACAAGGGGATACAACACCAGGGGATACAACACCAGGGGATACAACACCAGGGGATACAACACAAGGGGATACAACACCAGGGGATACAACGCCAGGGGATACAACACCAGGGGATACAACACAAGGGGATACAACACAAGGGATACAACACCAGGGGATACAACACCAGGGGATACAACACCCAAAGGGGTTTCAACACCAGGGGATACAACACCAGGGGATACAACACCAAGGGATACAACACAAGGGGAACAACACCAGGATACAACAAACAGGGATACAAAACCGGATACAAAACCAGGGGATACAACACAAGGGATACAAAACACAAGGGATCAGCACCAGGGATAAACACCAGGGGTACAACACCAAGGGGATACAACACCGGGATACCAAAACCCAAAAAATACAACACCAGGGAATACCAACACAAGGGGGTACAACACAAGGGGGTACAACAAACCCGGGATACAACACCAGGGGATACAACACAAGGGGATACAACACAAGGGGATACAACACAAGGGGATACAATAACAGGGGATACAACACCAGGGGATACAACACCAGGGGATACAACACCAGGGGATACAACACCAGGGGATACAACACCAGGGGATACAACACCAGGGGATACAACATCAAAGGATACAATACCAGGGGATACAATACAACACCTGGGGATACATCAAAGGATACAATACCAGGGGATACAACACCAGAAGATACAACATCAAAGGATACAATACCAGGGGATACAATACCAGGGGGCACAACACCAGGGGACACAACATCAAAGGATACAATACGGGGGGATACAATACCAGGGGATATAACACCAGGGTATAAAATATCAGGGCATACAACACCAGGGAACACAGCTCCAGGGCAAACAACATCATGGGATACAACAGCAGGACATACAGCACAAAGGGATACAACACCAAGGCATACAACACCAGGGAATACAACACCAGGGAATACAACACCATGGCATACAACACCATGGCATAAAACACCATGGCATGACACCATGGCACACAACACCATGGAATAACACCATGGCATAACACCATGGCATGCAACACCATGGAATAACACCATGGCATGCAACACTATGGAATAACACCATGGCATAACACCATGGCATAACACCATGGCATGCAACACCATGGCATGCAACACCATGGCACACAACACCAGGGGATACAACACCAGGGGATACAACACCAGGGATACAACATCAAAGGATACAATACCAGGGGATACAACACCAGGGGATACAACATCAAAGGATACAATACCAGGGGATACAATACCAGGGGATACAACATCAGGGGATACAACACCAGGGGTACAACATCAAAGGATACAATACCAGGGGATACAACACCAGGGGATACAACATCAAAGGATACAATACCAGGGGATACAATACCAGGGGATACAACATCAGGGGATACAACACCAGGGGTACAACATCAAAGGATACAATACCAGGGAATACAACACCAGGGTATAAAATATCAGGGCATACAGTACCACGGAACACAGCTCCAAAGCATACAACATCATGGGATACAACACCAGAACATACAGCACAAAGGGATACAACACTAAGGCATACAATACCAGGGAATACAACACCATGGCATACAACGCCATGGCATACAAGACCATGGCATGCAACACCATGGCATGCAACGCCATGGCATGCAACGCCGTGGCATGCAACGCAATGGCATGCAACGCAATGGCATGCAACGCCATGGCATGCAACGCCATGGCATACAACTCCTGGACATGCAACACCTGGACATGCAACACCTGGACATGCAACACCTAGACATGCAACACCTGGACATGCAACACCTGGACATGCAACACCTGGACATGCAACACCTGGACATGCAACACCTGGACATGCAACACCAGGACATGCAACACCAGGACATGCAACACCCCGGACATGCAAACACCAGGACTACAACACCAGGAAAATACAACACCAGGACATACAATACCAGGACATACAATACCAGGACATACAACACCAGGACATAAAACACCAGGACATACAACACCAAGACATACAACACCAGGACATGCAATACCAGGACATGCAACACCAGGACATGCAACACCAGGACATGCAACACCAGGACATGCAACACCAGAACATACAACACCAGGACATACAACACCAGGACATACAACACCAGGACATACAATACAAGGACATACAATACCAGGACATACAACACCAGGACATACAACACCAGGACATACAACACCAGGACATACAACACCAGGACATGCAATACCAGGACATGCAACACCAGGACATGCAACACCAGGACATGCAACACCAGGACATGCAACACCTGGACATGCAACACCAGGACATGCAACACCAGGACATACAACACCAGGACATACAACACCAGGACATACAACACCTGGACATACAACACCAGGACATACAACACCTGGACATACAACACCAGGACATACAACACCTGGGCATACAAACACCCCGGACATACACACTGGACATACAACACCAGGACATACAACACCTGGACATACAATACCAGGACATACAACACCTGGACATACAACACCAGGACATGCAACACCAGGACATACAACACCAGGACATACAACACCTGGACATACAACACCAGGACATACAACACCAGGACATACAACACCCAAAGGGCATACAACCCTGGACATACAACATCAGGACATAACCACCAGGGCATAACACCAGGACATACAACACCAGGACATGCAATACCAGGACATGCAACACCAGGACATGCAACACCAGGACATGCAACACCAGGACATGCAACACCTGGACATGCAACACCAGGACATGTAACACCAGGACATACAACACCAGGACATACAACACCAGGACATACAACACCTGGACATACAACACCAGGACATACAACACCTGGACCTACAACACCAGGACATACAACACCTGGACATACAACACCAGGACATACAACATCTGGACATACAACACCAGGACATACAACACCTGGACATACAACACCAGGACATACAACACCTGGACATACAACACCAGGACATACAAAACCTGGACATACAACACCAGGACATACAACACCTGGACATACAACACCAGGACATACAACACCTGGACATACAACACCAGGACATACAACACCTGGACATACAACACCAGGACATACAACACCTGGACACACACCACCAGGACATACAACATCTGGACATACAACACCAGGACATACAACACCTGGACATACAACACCAGGACATACAACACCTGGACATACAACACCAGGACATACAACACCTGGACATACAACACCAGGACATGCAACACCAGGACATACAACACCAGGACATACAACACCAGCACATACAACACCTGGACATACAACACCAGGACATACAACACATGGACATACAATACCAGGACATACAACACCTGGACATACAACACCAGGACATACAACACCTGGACATACAACACCAGGACATACAACACCTGGACATACAATACCAGGACATACACACTGGACATAAAAACACCAGGACATGCAACACCCCGGACATAAACACCAGGACATACAACAACCCGGACATTACAGCACCAGGACATACAACACCAGGACATACAACACCAGGACATACAACACCTGGACATACAACATCAGGACATAACACACCAGGACATAACACACCAGGACATACAACACCAGGACATGCAATACCAGGACATGCAACACCAGGACATGCAACACCAGGACATGCAACACCAGGACATGCAACACCTGGACATGCAACACCAGGACATGTAACACCAGGACATACAACACCAGGACATACAACACCAGGACATACAACACCTGGACATACAACACCAGGACAAACAACCCCCTGGGCATACAACACCAGGACATACAACCCCTGGACATACAACACCAGGACATAAAAACACCGGACATACAACAC